GAAACGGCAGACATCAACACGAGACAGAATTGAGGCTCAAAAAGAGCCTCTTGGGAAACGTAATGTTCTAACGCCCTTCTCTTACTGGATCCGAAATTGGTACATGGTTGCATTGCGGCTTATGCTACCTTTTCCCATACAGGGTTTGATTTTTACAAATGATGGCGAAGTGTGACTTTAAGTTCAGGAGAAGCGGAAATATTAGCGACGAGTTCCCGCTGCAGAGCCCTTTACCCTGTAAATGCGCATCAGAGATTATCCTCGCTGCGGTGCTCATGACGCTGGTATTTCTTTTACCCTTCGAGAGGTCCTTATCCGTAATTCTCATTAAAATAAAAGCAAATGAAATTGCAACTATTTGGCGCTAAATATTGCCAACTCTCAGTCGCATCACCGTAAGGGCCTCAGGCCCCTGACCAGAGATTTCGGCTTTCTCTATGTAGCTTTCCGGGCCGGAAATGCCCTGAGGAAAGGGCATAATATGTGTAAAGTATAGGTGTGTGTAAAAATAAACGTGTAAACTAAAGTGCAGAAGGATGCCTGTGAAAACAAATGAATATGAAGGCCTACCTGCCCTTGAGTAATTGAGAGCATGACCACTTAGACACCAAAGAACAGATTTTTCACTATTTTCCGCTTCCGCTTCTTCCTCAAGGTCGCAGAAGAGGGAAACAGAGGAAACTGTTCTTGTCACCACCACCAAAATCCTACGTCTTTTGAGTTACCTGTAAAAGCCCCAAAATTATTATTTGGTAAGTTTACCCTGGACTGAATCTGGCTTCAGGCGATCTCTTATGATAACTGGACGGTGACAAGTCTTGCAGTGCAGAAAATCTAAACTTCTTCATTACAGGAACAAAAAGTAATTGATTTTGACGCCATTCGAAAACCATGCTGATCTTTTCAAAGATATTGATGTTGGTTTTTGTGCTCTTGGAACGACTCGTGGTAAATCAGGAAAGGTAAGTTCTTCACCGTCAGCCTGTTTACTCTAAACATCTGTTTATTGTTTTCTTTTCAATATAGTAGAGATAACAGCCAACTGGTAGAATTATTGAGAGTGGCCGGCATTTATGGGAGCCAGGGAGGGTGAGAGGGGGGGAGGGAGGAGTGTTTGGGTATTTCCTCGTTCCAGGTCTGCTACCCAGTCTC